CCCTCTCTCCCTCTCTCCCTCTCTCCCTCTCTCCCTCTCTCCCTCTCTCCCTCTCTCTACCTCTACTACCCTCTTAACTCCCCTTGCCATGCCCTGAATAAACTCTATTCTATACAAAAAAATTAAAAAGATTTTCTATTTTGTCAACAAGAAGACTTCTGTTAATAATAGTTAAATGGAACAAATTAAAACAGTTTGCTTTCTTGTTCATTTTTATAGTAAACTCAAATCATCAGAAATATGATAGGCAAATATGTCTAAAACAAAATAATTTAGCCTGTTATTGCACAGATGGGTGGATTTTGTTTGTTTTTAAGTAAGGCAATGTGAATCACTGATAAATTTTAAAAACCAACATAAGGAACTTTTCAATTGTCATTGTTTTATTTCAGGAGGGAAAAGTAGTAGTCTATTAGTCTGTTCTTGAGGCTTTGGGATGTCCCAAATGGTCTACTTTGTTACTTGAAGTGAACTTTTCATTTCTTTATTGAATGCTCAAATTATTTCCTTTATTGTTTATACAGAGACAGCAACAGGAATTAGAAAAGATGCATCCACATCTCCTATGTCAACCAGAAGCCCTAAAGACCCCCTGACACCAGCCTCATCATCATCTCAGCACAAAACCTCAAGGTGAGTCTAAAACAGCCTCTGACTTAGTGTTCTCCATAAGAGAATGTTTATAAGACTGAAGAAATCTTGACAATTTTAGTGATCTTACTCAGCAGGCACTTATGAAGCTTTAGATTTGGCAAATTTGTTACAGCTTTCTTCTCTCTATATTCATGCTTTTCTGAAATGATCATGACAGTTGACAAGAATTTCCATAGAAACCCAAAGCATCCTGTCCACAGAAACTCTGCTTAGCAGTGGGCCCTTCTCAGCTCATCATCAGTGTTGCTGTAGTTAGTTAATCTGCTCTAATCTGCTTGGCATGTTCAGCAGTGTGCACAGTCCTCACTACTGCCCCAGTTCTCCAATGCTCTGGATTCTCAAATGAAAGACACACACACACACACACACACACACACACACACACACACCCTTCTATTTTATTGTGCCTTAAACTGCACAATGACTGGGCCACTCACAAGCTTCCACGTTGCTAATGCCTCGCCTCCAATACTTCTGAATTATTATTTATTAAAATCTATATTCCCTCTTTGCTACCCTAGACCCAGTGGGGTGGGAGGACTGGGGCCACTCTTTCCCAGCTCTTACATGGCTGGTATTCTGTCTTCTGCCACTCTCAAGCCTGCATCTTATTCCTTCCCCAGCAATGGTGATCCTCTCTCCTCTCCTGTGTCCCTTGCCTGGGAACCTAAACATCCTGCTTCTGTCTCTCTGCTCAACTATTGACCGCTGGCAACTTTATTTACCAGTCAAAGTCAACTGTGGGCAGGGTCCTTCAGCATTTTACATGCAGACATGTGGATTCCCAAGTAATTTGGGGAGCCAAATTAACACAAGTAGCATTAAACCAATTCACAACACATTGGTGGTAATGTATTTGGCCTACAACTTTAAGTGACTAAATTCTGAAAACCCTAGTGAATTTTGTGCTAAAGATATCTTGACATTGACTTATACCAGAGATTTTGGAAGGGCCAATTATTTGATCATCTATTTCTGGAGTTAGAGAATATATATCATTTAAAGCATCTCATATTAATATAGCAACTCCCATACTTTACACTTAAGAAGCATCAATTTCAAAAGGACTTGGTTTATGTTTCCTTGGGGATAACATTGATTTGGGGCACTTAAATACCTCATATCTTATCACATGAATATAGATCTTAAAGCATAATTCTTATTTTAATTGCCTAGGTTGCTGATCTCAAAGTTGGTGATTTCAAAGGTATACTATAAAACAGATTCTTTAGTTTATGGTTGTTTGAGAAAGGAACGAGCTTTAACTCTTCCTTCTGTAGAGCTGTCTTTCACTCAAGTCTCGTGTAAGTACATGCCACAGAAGACAAACCTACACATTCTTGAGACGCAGTGTTTGTTCTAACTGGTCCTTACCAGCATGCCTTTAATTGTGGAGGCAGAAAGGTAAACACCACAAAAGACCCTGGAAGTGACTGGTACAGAGAATAGTAAGTTAGGCTACTGTCTTTTAGTGCTATGTACCCAGAACTATGCCAAGCTCCTTGACTTTGTCTTCACAGCCCTCATCCCTCTTTAAAATTGGAAAACTATTACTCAGAGAGATTGAGTGTATTGTCAATAAAAGACAAGACCAACATCTCAAACTCCAAAGTAGTGTAATGGCCAACATTGTCAGGATGTGACATATGAAAATAATTAGTTAGCTTGCCCATCTCTCTCCACTTACCTTCTTTCTTGCTTTCAATGCTATCATCATTGGAATTTACTAAAGAAACAAATGAGTTGTGATTCTCGAAAATGGACAGAGCTCCCACCCAACCCATAGGGATTGGTTTGGCTGGGCTAGAAATGGGTAATACTTTCAATTTTCAATCTCAGTGAATTTTCTTACTGTTAAATGGCATTTGGTTGGTTGGTTGGTTGGTTGGTTGGTTGGTTGGCTGGTTGGTAATAGGGCTCAAATGTAGGTCTTGTACTTCATATGCAAGCACTCCAACACTGAGCTATACCATAGCACTAAAATGTGATTGTTAACACTACCTTAATGTATTTTTGGAGGTTGACTTTTAGTTTAAAAGGAAGCATCAAAAAGAGGAATAAAATCTTTTTCTGTAAGGCTTTTGTAGAACATTCTCAGCATGAATTTTGTGAATGAACCATATCAATGTGGTAGAATATTACAAGCCCTGGTTTAATTTGCTGCAAATACTCATATTTACAGATGTTAAGAAAAGGATTATTCATCTGCTGGTCCTTAATACTGCTAATCAGCTAAATATAGATTCTCAGGAGCTTTGTAAATAATAAGCATTTGGCTGACTAAAAGATTGTGTAGCACACCAGACCCTGTCTTTAGAGTTCACAATGGCGTATCATCAGTGTATTTTACAAAGTGCAAAGTTGAAAATTTTTCGCTAGTATGAAAACCAGCTACTGGGACAGCACAGTGGTGTTTCTCCATCGTTAGAATCTAGTGTATTTGAATCATTTTCATTTCAAAGTGTGCTCTAGTCATTTTTTATAGACTTTCTTCCACAAATCTTCAAAGAAAATAGATTTTAATCTATATTCACCCTAAATTCCAAGTATGTTTAAGGTTTACTAAAGGCTTGCAAAAGATGATGGTATGGTTCAGTGCTGGGGGGCAGGATACATTTTTCCTTTGTTCTTGTAAAACACCTAAAACTGTCCCATATCATTCTATGTACAGTCAAAGAAAACAGTCATGACAGAGTCATCTTTCCCGTTCATAGTATAGGTTTTTAATTGTTCTCTCTACTGACTGTCAATGTAATGCGAAATTTGCATTCCCTATTCAAGATGGAAAAGTTTGTGACTGAAAATGTTAACATTTGCATTTTTATTTGTTGATTTGTTTAAAGGACAGCCTTTTCTACAGTAATCCATCACTTACTGACATCCCAAATATGAATAATATATTGTAGACTTGTGGTTACAATGTGTAATTAGTGCCTGAGATACGAAAGGAATGTTAGCCATGTTGCAAATGTAATATTTATCAACTCATAAAGATTATTGCTTTTGAGGTTTAATAATACTGACCATAGAACATTAATATCACTTATCTTGATTTTAGCTGGACATCTTTGTATGTAGAAATATTTATCTATCTCATGCTAACAAAATAAATATGTAATTTACAACATAAGCAAATAAAGCATGAAAACATTCCCTATTGGGAGCCACAGAGCTGTTTTCTCTCCATTTTACCTGTAACTCTAGGGCTAGTTGTGTACCCCTTAGTTGTCAGGAATAGTAAAGACAACTATCTTGGTTATCTTGGCCCAAGAGGATTGTGGGATTAAACAAAACAATAGTGTTCACTTCTGGTTAGTAAGAACAGGTAATCATGCATAGATCAGTCCTGCTGGAGAGATGACTGGAGGGGCTTTCTCATTGTGAGCACCATGGCAATACATGAGCCTTAGCTCTGGAAGGAAGCTGAGATGGTCTGCGATGCTCTGACACTCCATGCTTGTATTCACCATGAAGCCAGAGATGGGAAGGTTACCCTCTGCTTCTCAAATGACTTGTTAGAAGGACAAATACTACTTTTTATATATGCTTTTTAAATATATGCTTTTACACCTTCCCAAATTAGGTATGTCCACTGTCAACAATAAAAAATAAAGTTGCAAACCACCAAAGTCAAAGAGGTTGTGTTTAGTCACCAACATCCACTGTGCTTTAGTCCCCACTGAGGTGCGGAGTTATGTATTTCTTCACTATAAATGCCCTTTCTGATTATACTTGATATATGCCAATTTAATCAGAAAGTACACTTACATTAAGCAGATACTTGTATTAATACAGCTCGGAATTTCAAGCCTTTTATCTCAAACCATATTAGGAGATAAGGTATTGTACAGCTGCATGCCCTTTCATGTGGCACAGTGCATTTCATATTGAAATGAAGGAAGTGCCTTCTGTAATTCTTTAGAACTGCAGAAATGTCACTTTTTGAAAAACCGATGGAGTTTCTACTTCTCAGTCCTGTGACAAGATGAAGTTGATTGTTCCACATTGATGAACAGTGACTAATTCCATCCTCGTGGCTACAGAATTAAATCCACAGCCCCTGAAGTGCAAGGTCACAGAGCCCCTTCTCTGTACTTCTGTGATTCATGAAGTATCAGGGCACTACTCTTGCATATCTGTTTTCCTGTGACATGGAAAGAGAGAAAGGCAATCCCTACATGTCATGCCCAGCAGGAAAATTTGTGCAACTAACGTAGATTCATCTGCTTCTAAAAAGTACCATTTGCTTCTTTATCTTGTTTTGACTCTTTCTGTTTTCAGAAAGATTTGCATTTTCCTTTTAAACTATAACATGGAAGATTTTTGTTTTGTTTCTTTTTGAGATACTGGCTATGAATTTTATGAAACTTGTTAAGCCTAGGGTAGGGGTGGGGCACATATTTAAGTGTTTTGAAAAACTTGATAGTGTATTAGAGACATAAAATTAGTTAATTATTTTTTTAAAAAAAAAATCTTGGTCATTTGCAACCACTGTACATGTTTAATGTCTTACTCTCAAGTATACTACTAGCTTAGTTTTGCTCACAAGCATTTGCACACAGCTAGATCTAAGTTTCTTTGGGGAACCTGGGATCACACTCTACCAAGCCCATGCTGAAATAAATCTACATCTCTCCATCTTTTAGACCAGTGGTTCTCAACCTTCTTAATGCTGCAACCTTTTACTATAGTTCCTCATATTATGACCCCAAACAATAAAATTATTTTCATTGCTACTTCATAACTATAATTTTGCTACTGCTATGAATCATAATGTAAATATTTGATATTCAGGATATCTCGTATGTGACCCTTGTGAAAGAGTTGATTGACAGACCCCTCCAAAGGGGCTGCAACCTATGAGTTGAATATCTCTTTTTTTTTAGATAGTATTTTTATTTTTCCTTCAGCAACTTCACATGAAAAGTGCAAATTTTTTGGCTCCAAATATAATGATATAGTTTTCAGAGTTTTCAGAT